CCTGCCCCCGGTCCCCGCGGCCCCACAGCCCGGCGGCCCCTGAGCTCCGCGGGCCGAGCGCAGCGGCCGCAGGACGCCGCCGACGCACTTCTCGCGATAGTTACCTGCCGGCGGGCGCTCCGACGGAAGCCGTGCAGGCGCACTGGCGAATGTACGCGGAGTACAGCGCCTCGGCCTCCGCGTACTCGCCCTTCCGGAAGTGAGCCTGGGCGCGGGCTAGGGTTGCGCGGCCCTCTTGACCCCGCGGCCCTTCCATAGCGGTCGGAGCTTTCGGGTGGAACCGGGCTGATTTCAGCGGCGGCGCCGCAAAGCCACGGCCGCGCCGGACTTGACCCTCCGCGCTGGCAGGGCCAGCTGTGCCTTCCGAGGATCCGTCGTCTGGCGGAGTCAGCGGTGGCGCAGGCGGAGGCCCAGGCCGCCCGCGGAGCTCGGGCAGAGCCCTGGCGGAGCAGTTCCGATGCTCTCCGCTCGTCCCGCCAGCCTCGCTCCCGGCGGCGCTCTGCTGCTGTGAGGCGCTGGCTCGTCACCGTCAAGGTGGGGGCGTGCCGGAAGCGGAAGGAAGCGCCGTTTGCTGGGGCACCGGTACCTGGAGCACCGATCCCTCGGCGCCGCCCTCGGCGAAGCGCCCCGCTGAGGAGCCTCTGGCCCGAGACACTGGCCGCCCCATTCGCTTAGCTGCCCCGTGGCCCCGAGTCCCAGCTCAGGACCGTGGGTTGCAAGCTCCTCAGCCTTTTGAACCTCAGGAATAGTGCGAAGAGTAAATCGTAGTTTGTGTCGAGTCTGTGGTCTGTGATGTTACTTTACGTTGCTTGACGGTTTATGCCAAAAGGGAACCCAGATAGTAATTTAAATACAGTGTTTGTCAAGTAAAGATTATGTAAAATGAACAGTCCAGAGAAGAAGTAAAATAACTCAATTCCATTTACAATAACATCAAAAAGAATACTTAGGGATTAGTTAGCCATGGAGATGAAAAACTTAATGAAACATTGCTGAAAGTAAAAACATAAATGGAAAGACATCCCATGTTCATGGATTGTAAAACTTAATATTTTAAAGATGTCAATACTACTTAAACCAATCCACAGATTCGATGGAACCCCTCAAAGCCCCAATGATGTTTTTACAGAAATAGAAAAACCCATTCTAAAATTCATATGGAATCTAAAGCGATCCCAAGCAGCCAAAACAATCGTAAAAAGAACAGAGTTGAAGGACTCATGCTTCCTGGTTTCAAAACTTACAAAGCTACAGTAATCAAAACAGTGGCATAAAGGCAGTCTTAATAAATGGTGCTGTGAAAACGATATCTACCTGCAAAAGAATGAAGTTGGACCCTAACCTAACACCATATTTAAAAATTAACTCAAAATGAATATAAAAACCTAAATATAAAACTAAAAATACAAAATTCTTAGAAGAAAACAAGGCAAAAAGCCTCATGATATCGCATTTGGCAATGATTTCTTGGATATGACATCAAAGACACAGGCAACAGAAGAAAAAATAGACAAATTGGACTTCATGGAAATTAAAAACTTTTGTGGCAACAAAAAGACTATCAACAGTAAAAAGACAACCCAAAGAATGGGATAAAATATCTTCAAATCATGTAACTGATAAGAGTGGGAAATGCAGAGATGGAGGTTCTGTGGGGCAGGGTGGGCTGGTGTGTGCATCTGCTTATAGAACATACGAGGGATTCTGACGTGGTTTTCCATCGCACTTGAGAAGGTGATTTTGGACTTGAAGCAAATTGTTTAACCTCCTCTGATATAACTTTGCCCCACTCCCATGCTGCTTCTATGCCCCAGCCAAGATTTTTTTAGTGAATTAATAACCTTCACACTGCGAGAGAAAAATTTTATTCAGAATATTTCCATAGTATCATATATACAGTTATATCTATGCATATATGCTGCCTATATTTTACAGTTACACGCGACTTGTCATTTCTTTATCCCACTGAGCTGTGGCATAAGGGACAGAAGTTGTAGTTACTTATTTCCTGAGCCAAAACACAGTGCTTGCACACATTGCACATCCAGAACTGATACTCAGTGATCGGGCTTCCTGTGGCAACACATGTGGGCAGTTTCCCTTCCCCTCTGTAAAAATAAGAGGAAAAACAAATAATTACACTTTAAAATTTCTAGTTACTTGAAACATTACCTTTAAAAAACTGAAGAATAAAAAACATTTCAAGGTAAACTTGAAATAAAACCTTACAATGAGAAAATAAAGCATTAATACACTTATAAGACTAAATAAAATAGGGTATAAGGTTAACTACTTCAAAATTTAGTGCTCTAATTATTATATCAAACTATTATGCATATAAAAATCCAACCTTCTAAGAAGGTAGAATGATATTTAGTAATTACAGTTAGCCTTACCCTTCAAGAAGGCTGTCCAATTCCGATTTTCTGTTATCTTTTGGAGTATGTTTGGTGAAGATTTCTAGAGCAAGATCTTCATATTGCTGTTTCTGTTCAGAACTGAGGCTCTCCAAAGATTCAAGTTTAATAAAAGCTTTTGAACAAGTACCAAAAGCTCTACTGGCACAAGCACAGAGTGCTAACAGAGAGTAGATTTCAACAGCAGGGATAATGTCTTCATAGTCTCTCAGGTGAAGAGCTAGCAAAGAAAGAACAATTGGATTTTGCAAAGTAATCATGATCGTGCATGGGAAAGAATCTGTGTTAAGCTTTCTTAGTTTAACCTACGTAAACTTTAGCAAAGTTAAAGAAAACAATGGTGGGAGATCAGAGCACTAGCAGGAGGAAGTAGCCTACATGATCTCCAGGTTCTGTAACGCCAGCTAACAGCTCAGGTCCTGGAACTATAACCATCACCAAATGATGCACATGGCCATTTAGAAATACACACACGAACAAAAATATGTGGTGTCAAAACATCTTTTGTTCCATATAAGTACGTTAAAAATTTTTGCGGCATTCCAGAAAAAGGAAAACATTTTTTCTTTGTGTTTCTTTGAACAAATTTTTGCTTTTCTATTTGTCTTTTTAAATTTTTTTTTATCCTCACCTGAGGATATTTTTTCCATTGCTTTTCAGAGAGGGAAGGACAGAGGGAGGGGGAGAGAGGGGAAGAGAGAGACATCAATGTGAAAGAGACACATCGACTGGTTGCTTTCCAAAAGTGTCCTGACCAGGGCCAGGGATCGAGCCTGCAACCAAGGTGCGTGCCCTTGGCCAGAACCGAACCCAGGACCCTTCAGTCTGTGGGTCGACGCTCTAACTCCTGAGACAAACTAGCCAGGGCTAAAAATATTTTACAACATATTATTGTTTTTTAAAAAGTACATAAAAGAATGATCTACTATACTCCCAATATTGTAAAAAACAAATTTACTTACTTATATTTATTTTATGTAATATATATTATTACATATATATTATAAATATGTAAATATTTATACTATACACACACACAAAAGGACACAGACTGGCTATTAAGTGTTTAACTCTGAATGAACAGTGAATGCTATAAACGTTCTTTCTGCTTATCTCAAACTTCTTGCTTTTCTGTGAACTGTACATGTTGCTTTCTGCATATTAAAAAATAAAAAACTTCAAAAAGGGGCATGCACAAAATACATTATAGACAGCAAATCTCAAACATGTGAAAATAAGTCCATAGGGGAAAGGTGTTGCTGAAACTAATACGAAGGCAGACAGCCCCCATACGTTGGTCAGGTAAGAGGCCCACCTGTCTTCAGAGCACTGTCCACGTAGCCCGCGTAGAGCTGCCTCTGCGCCAGGAGGAAGAAGTGGTAGGCCTCGGCCCCTCGCCAAGCGTTGTCTGTGAACCGGCTGGACGCCGACAGAACCTCTTCCTCCAGCAGGCTGGCCAGAGCCGAAGTGGCCTGCGAGAAAGCAGACACGCTTCCTATGGGCACAACCGTGATGACGCTCCTTCCATGAAGGCAGCGTCTGAAACTGCTACATTACAACATCTAAATTAGCAGGTTTTACCATTACAAGCTGTCTCTGCGGACTTAATTCACCATAATTCATGTTTGGTCAAACTGGTATGATCACATTTTCCTCTGCCTTTTTTAAAGTATAATTGAAAATAAATGTAAGATATTTAAAGTGTACATTATGGTGATCTGTTATGTGTATACATTGTGAAAGGGTTGATCAAATTTTAAAACAGAATTGATTAAACTTTAATAAGAGATTTGCATATTAGAATAATATATATAATCTAGTACAATTTTTAGAACTCACAGATTAGAAAAGATTTACTAAGTAGGGAGTTAAAGCAAAGACTATAGATTAGTCTTGCAGAAAAAACCGTTTTCAGTATTTCCAAGTAGAAATTTCTAAAATTTGAGTACTAATTCCCAATCAGTCATTCCTTTTCCTCACATCATTTAAGGAGATAAATGCAAATAAGCAAATTAAATGCCCTGTCCAAGAAAAGAAGCTGGGGGGTTTTCCTTAAGCACTTCCAATGACTTAGTCCTCGCATCGCTCCACCCTACCTCCGAGCTCGTGCCTTTGACCTTTCCTCGCTGCGCGTTTTTCATTTGTTCGTGGTGCTGCTCTATAAGCAAGGCTGACAGGACATAGAGCTTCTTGACACGTAAAGGTTTAGCTCTTTTCTTTGCCTCTTCATCTGCAACCTTTAGACATTTAAAGAATTGAGGGAAGGTATTGCTTAATCTGTATTTGTACAGATATAATCATCTCTAAATTTAATTCTCTAAAAAAAGGAGGAAAGTCAGTAGGATGGAATATAAATATCTCTCATTTATAATAAATATTTAAAAACCCGCTTTCTTTTCCTTAGTACCGAGAAGTACTTAGTTCATTCTTAGTATTTAGGCCCTGGAGTTAGAACTTACAATATTCTTAGAAAATAACAGATGCTGTTAAATAAGTCAGAATGAAGAAAGCTTTCATGAAATGGATTTTAAAATAATGTTCCAAGTACACGGAGAGAAAACGGCTTTAACATGGCACATCCTTCAGAATTATTTATTTAAAACATTCTGAGGGAAATTTTTCATTTTTCTTAAAGCGAATGGGAACAGAATAGAATGTAAACTTTGCATCTATTAGTACTGTCCTAGTCGGCTTCCGGCCAAATGTGCATTATGAAAAGTGTAGTGTCGTTAAAATTTGTACATTTAAAGGGACTCGAGATTCTATTATCAACAGGATTCAATTCCCAGTTAAGAGAATTTACACTTTATGGTCCCTAGAAGTTATATAATTCTTTAACATCAGTATTAAGTAAACACATAATTGTTTAGATATCAATAAGGTGCTAATGTTAATAAATAGCCTTGTTAGTAAAGGAAATAATACTAAGATAACACATAGGTAATTACAGTAGTAATAAAACCAAAGGTATTTTGCTATAACAAATATTTGTTTCCAAGCAAAATGCAAAATGTGCTCTTTAAGAAAACACTGGCAACTAGAACAGACTGGATAGTCACCAACAATATTACATACCTTAAACATCAGTTTAGCAGCATCATAGAAGTAATTGGCTTTCCGGTAGAGTTCTATGGCATCAAGAGTTTTATTCTTTTCCAGCAAGTGAGCTGCATACCTCGCTAGCAGGGATCCAATTTCTTTCATACTATGATTTTTAGCCAATTCGACAGCTTTGTTCCACTGAGGGGGAAAATATACCATTCAGTTACCCACCCATTTACAGTCACGTTGTCACAGAATTCCCACAATAAAGCTTTAAGTTTATAATTACACTATATTAAAATTGAAACTGGTATATGTTTTTAAAAATCATTTAAATTCAAAGTAATTATAAGTTTTACAAGTTAAACATGCATCACGAAATGATTAAACGATCTAAGACTGTGCTTGAGAAGTACATCTGAAAAGAAAAGCAGCAAAGTTTGTAATCAATCTTATTAATTCTAATTCTCACAAACTTTGAGAAAAAGATATGTTTATAGTAAAACAAAATATGCAATTTCAGTTAAGAAAATGTTCTATGAGACTTAACATTTAAAAGTTATTTTTATAAAGCAAATAAAGCTTTATAAAATACTTTAAGAAAATACTTAAAAGAATGCAGTGAGAGTCATCAATTTCAACAATTCGGTACTTCAGTTTTTAGTTCCAGTTCTTAAAAATATCAAGTACACATTCTTTAAAGGGAAAAGAATATAGATTTGTCAAAATAAATATTAATACAGTAACTCAATTCTTCCCTCTTGCAATGATCATTACCTGGTCCTACTTTAGAAATAAAACCCAATCCTAATAAAATGCAGAAAATTTTGAAGCTACTTCCAGACAAAACCTTGCCAGACTAGAAGCACAGGGTTAGTTCCTGATCCCATACTGAGTCAGTCAGGACTGGGTCACCCCCAACAGTCACACCTCAAGAGGTGAGGGAATGCCAACATTTTCTTGGTCCTCAACTAAGCAAGAGACTACCCTACCCTGTCTCCTTTCACAAAATTCATCTCAAGCTCTCCAACCGCTATGCTGGGAACAGTTTTTAAAAGAGGACCATGGTGACTTGAATTTTCAGCTCCTTACTTGGTTGAGATGTACACAGGTGTCTACCGCTTCCTTTGGTTGATTACATTTCAAAAATGCGGTCACTGCTTGTTCACACATTCCAACTCGCACAAACATCTGTGCTATTTCCTGTAAGGACAAAACAATATTATTAGACTTCACAGACCAAGGGAATCACTTAATTTTGATTTACAAAACTCCATGGGGACATGTGAGTATTAAATGTACTGGTGGTTACAGTAATTTTGCATTTAAAAAGACATAGGGACAGAGGCCACAAACCAGAGCGGATGCTCAGGCATCACCTTCTATAAACCTGGTGCTTCACTGGTTCCTGCAGGGGATCTGATTTTTAACCAGGATCTGGAGATACTGCCTCTTATTTCTCAGTTTAGAAGCTAGTTTACAGAAACATCAAGCTCTAAAACAAACCCCACACTAGTGGGTAAGAAAACCTCTAAGGCTTAGATGGTATAATCAAAGGTCATTGTTAATTTGAGGGCTATGGGAAATCTCATTCACAGAGCTCCCCAATACCCCTATAAAGAATGCCCCGGACAAGCTAGCCATTCATCAGGGCAGGATGCTGGACCCAGAACAGAGCTCCCTCAGAGGGCAGTGCAGGAGAGGGAACCACCACAAAAACCCATCATACCCACTGGGCTGACTTCCCATTTCCAGAATATCATTTCCTTTTCTTTCTGAATATCTAATTGGCCAGAATTTTGCTCTCCCCATCCCTACTTTTAAAATATTTTGGGAAATATCGTAAAAGTACATTTTATGTCCAACTATCTTTTTCAAAGTAATGCTCATAGTTTTCTGATAATAAACTAATACATTTATGATTTTTAAAAATTTAAAAACACAAAAATGTAGTTACTCATAATCTTATTACCCATAGGAGACCTCTCTCAATGGTCTGATGTCATTTCTTAACATCTCTGTCCTCTGAATACATATGTATGTGTGAAGTGGTGCACGTATTGTTATACTATACAGGATGGGGCAAAGGTAGGTTTACAGTTGTGAGTATGTGAAGCACAGAGTTTCTTCTTGTCTTATTATTTAGTAATTGTACTATTTTCCATATGAACAACTGTAAACCTACTTTTGCCTAAGCCTGTATATGGCTTTGTATCATGCATTTCCCACTAAATATTATGTACATTTTACCATATTATTAAAAACTGCTTCAAAACTTGATTTAAAATGTGCAGTACTATTTACAATTTTTAATTAGTTTAATTATTTATTGTTATAGCTATACCTACTTAGTATTTACTCAGTAATTTACCATTCTGGAGACTCTATAGCAGCACTTCCTTCCTGCATCATCACACAGGCTAACAGACAACATTCATGTGGGCTGCACTGGCCCTACACCCAGGACTAGAAGTCATTTCAATTTCTTTCCCACCCCAGAAAACACACAGGGTTGAGAACAAGGGTGTGTGAAATGCCAGTATTACAGGGATAACTGCTCTAATTCACAATAGAGAAAACTGAATTATCAGAATTCTATACTCACCTATTAGTTAACAAAGTTTTTGTGGGAGAACTCATAACTGATACATTCCAGGCCCTGCAGTGGAGAGCTGCTAACTCTATAGGTGTTACACAGCTCAGTGATTTACATTTTAGATAAAGCAAAAAATACAAAGTCATTAACATCATCACCAAGTAAAGATACTTAAAAAGAACAAAGTTCCATAGAACTCTGCTTTTAGTTTCTCTTTAATACTTTATTGTTAATATGAACTATATAAAAGTCAAGTTATCTTTTAAAACTTTTCTTATAGCAAATTTCACACACACACACACATACACACACACACTAATCGCCAGACCCAGCTAGATTATTTGGAAGCAAATCTCTGACAATCATTTCATCTGTAAATATGTCCTGTGTTCAGCTAACCTTTAAAAGCGATTTTATAAAACTGACAAGACTACGCAAAACTGTGATCATGATAAAGTAGCAGGAATATGGTTAATTTTCCCTCCATTTTCAAGTATTCTGTAATATTATTGATACAGTGGTTTAACAATTAAAAGCATTATTCCACATCTAAGAAACTGTAAGATTATATAGATTAATTTAAAAATTTACTTGTTACAAAGGATATTTTCTGACTATAACATAAAAACCTTATAAAACTTCAAAAACTAAAATTTCCAATACCTACTGGAAGTAACTTGTGGTTTTCTGGAAGTGAACTGGCGAGACTCTCCAATCCCTCATAATCTTCTAACATGTAATAACATTCGGCTAAGCGTTCCTGGTTTTGGCCTTGTATATAATACTGTACAGCACTCAGCCTATAGGAGAAAAAAGTTTAAAATTTTTAAAGTTAATGTGAGTCTCCTGATAAACAGCACTTTCGCCGAAAATGTTCCTTCATTAGAATTATTAGTATTACTCTAGTCACCATCTTCAGTTACAAAATGTCTTTGAAGCATATAAACTGCGGGGTGGGGAATCTAAAACGGTTAAGTATATTTTAGTTACAGCATTCTTTGAATAGTCTTCGTATTGTTTTAATCTGATACCCGGTGGTACTTCCAAACATGAACATAAATAAAAAGGCATATTGCCCAGCCAGGCGTGGCTCAGCGGTTGAGCATCAACCTGGGATCCAGAAGATTAGGGTTCAATTCCCGGTCAGGGCACATGCCTGGGTTGCAGGCTACAGCCGATCAATGACTCTCTCATCATTGATGTTTCTTTCTCTCTCTCCCCTTCTCCCTTCCTCTCTCTGAAATCAATAAAGATTTTTTATTTTTTTTTTAAAAAGCATATTGATCAAAATGAAAACTTAAGCATAAAAGCCAATGATTTCTGAAAATAATCTACAATAACAAAATAAGCCAACATAAAATCCTGCTTTTACTCTTTTGGAAATAAATCATAGAATGGCTTAGAATTGCATACTGTGGGCTCAAATAGGAAAAAGCTGCTGGAGCTAAGCACAAGTTTTGTGGAAACTCCAGAGTTGTACAGGGCTTAGCATCTCGTGCTTTCCAACGTGAATCTAGAGCTACTAGAAGTTTAGGATCCAGGAGGATGGTCTTCATTTCCTGAGCACTGTTTCATAAGTAAGAATGCAGGCAGCTGCATCTCGCATGCGGTGACTGGATGAGGGCGTCCGGACAGGTTCCTTACCACTTCTGTCGGTCAGCAAAGTAGTCTCCGATGGCATTGTGGGCTTGTTCAAGGAGACTGTCGTCTGCATCACCAGACCCAGTTTTCAGGAGTTGGAGTACTCTAAACCAATCTCCCAATTTCAGCCGAAGGCCAATAGCAAGATCCCTGCAAACAAATCGTTCATTCATTCATTCATACATTTGACAGTACTTATCAAATGCCTACTACGTGCCAGCTCCAATTCTAGGGTACTGAGAATACACAGTAATGAAGGGACAGACAAGGTAACTCTCCGAACATTTTAGAAACTTAACCTGACCAGGTAAGAAGCAGTAGGGAGAACCTGGAACAGGGAAAAGGAAACAATTTCCTGCCTCTTATTTTCCTGGCGTTCCAATTTCCTCAGCAAAACAATGACTTAATAATCATTTCTTTTCATCAATTTCTTAGACATGATCAGGCTTATTTAAAAACCAAACATATAAAAACATGTTTGGCTGTATCTTTATTTTCAGAGTTTAAGTTGTATCAAGGACCTCCTGGAAGTACGAATAATATTAGTAAAAATTAGACATCATGGTTACAACTGAAATGAAGTTCATACATTATTTTATAGAAATCTAAAATGAAATATAAAGAACAAAAGTCAACCCCTAAATAAGTCTGATTTTTATTTCATGGTCCTTGACAACAGTAAGTCAAATAATGGCCTAAACCCAAAAAATGAACTGTAATAAGTGATAAAAGCCCCCAGTCTGTACGCACATGATTATCTTTCCTACCAAGTGAAAAAAGTCTCCCACGGCCAGCTAGTCATATGTGTAAAAATTGGGAAGAAAACTGCCCCCAAATCACAAACCATAAGTTAACGAGGCACATGTGGAATATCTAGGTTGTAATCCGCACTGAAACTCTTTTCTAGACGAAATGGTCTAAGGCAGTTGGCCTCTCCGACGTTCCTCGTTCATAGGGTAGGAACTCCGGCAGCCCCGGGGCGCCGCCTTCAGCACTGACCTTCTGTCCTTATCGAGGTACATCCGCTCGGCCTCCTCGAACCTGCCGAAGTAGGCCGCCACCTCCGCCTGCTTCATGGTCTCGCTCTGCAGGTTGCCCAGACGCTTCACAAACTTGATGCCCTGGTAGTCCTTGCAGCGCACGAACGCCTGCTCTGCGGTCTGCAGGTCCAGTTTCTGTAGCGCGGCTTCAGCCAGCAGGCGCCTGCATACAAAAGAATCAGAAGCCGTGCCATGTGGCTCAGTGGTCGAGCATCGACCTGGGATCCAGGAGACTGAGGTTCAATTCCCGGTCAGGGCACATGCCCGGGTTGCAGGCTTGATCCCCAGTGGGGGGAGGGCAGGAGGCAGCTGATCAATGACTCTCATCATTGATGGTTCTCTCTCTCCCCCTCCCTTCCTCTCTCTGAAATTAATAAAGATACATTAAAAAAAACAAAAACCAGAAAATATTGCAAATTACCAATAAACAAGCCTTGAAGCAGAATTCAATTATTATAACTATGGTTTCCAGTGAAACATGGTAGGAAGTGATTATTCTCACATTTTCTACATGTTTCGGTTAGTATTATGCTTATTTTGAGTTCCGAATCTACAATGAATTTCTCGATCTTAGAAGGAAAAGCGAGAGCAGGGGTCCATCCCTGTGGAGGTGGCACAAGAGGGGGCCATGGAGCTGAGGCTTTGCAGCATCCACCAGCCCCTCGGGGAGGGGTTTTTACCTTCACATACCAGAGTCGGGGGTGAGGATTGTTCTCTATGAACTGAGATGCGTCTTCAATTCCAACCTTCTCAATCAATGCTCGACTGTCTCGCAGGGACCGAATCTCAAAGTTAATTATGTAATCCTTGTTGGGGTGTTCTGGATTCTAAAGTAAAGATGGAAAGAAAGGAACTCAAATAGTTGCCTTTGGAATATATGTTTCTTTTTTACAGTTTAACAAAAAAACTGCATCATATTTTAAGCAAAACTTGGCAGCAAAGAAAGTCCCCTGGGTGGGTCTCTTTAGTTATCTAGAAAACAGCCCTCTGAGGCTCTCGCGCTGCCTGTGGGGAAGCGGGGACTGTGGTAAAGGGGTCCCTTTGTAGAAGGGAAACTCAGGCAGCCTGGTTTCCCTCAGCCAAACAGTTTATTCCCCAGGTGCTGCTCTCTTCTTACCCAAAGTGCTGGGCCTCCCGAAAACAGCAAACGTGGGTGCAGGGCCTCTGCCCCTCCCTCCTTACCCTCCCTCCTGGCCTCGAAGATGGAATGGTTGCTCCACGTGCTGCTGAGCAGCAGACAAACAAAAGAAAAAGAGCTAGTGTTCATAACCACTTCTGTTTTGTAATTAGGTGGCTGACAAAAAAAAAAACAAAAAACTGAAGGGCTGTCTTTCAGGAAAGAGCTAATGGCCAAAGAAAGGAAACAAGCCATTATAATGAACTCAGCAATACTCTACATATTCCAAGTAATGAAAAGTGAAGCGCAGGAGAAAACTAGAACCCGCAGCTGTAAACAGCAATGGCTCCTGGAGACCAGAGTGCTCTGAAAAGGTGAACTAAGCCACATGGACCCCCTGCTCACCCTGCCACTAAACCACCGCATCCAGAAACTGAGGAGTTCTTAGGGGACTTCCAGGAACAAAGGACGACGTGTGGAAAGAGCACGAGGTCGGATTCAAACAGACCTAGGATCAAATCCTAGTTCCACTGCTTCCTGCTTATGCAACAACTTTCTCCAACCTGCCTACCCTCCTACAGACGTGAGGCAGAAGCGGAAAGGGAAGGACGAGAGGTGAGGCTTATAAGCTGCCAGCAGTCAACCATCAAAACTGAAGTCAGAGGCGTTACTGCAACCTGGGTTATATTATCTCCAAACATGCGCCTGGCTCTTCTCCATGTGGCCAGCACTTCCACAGAAAGCGGAGAGAAAGCCCTGTCCCTGTTGAAGGTGTTAGGCTTGTAAAGGCACTGAACTACTTCCACCTGCAGTTACTGTCCTACTGAAATGGAATGCATAACATCAGAGAATATATAATTTCCCTTTTCTTCTCTGAAGGATGAAGAGATGAGGCCTTTTGCTTGTCCTCTTTCCTGAAAGATTTAAGTGTAAGACTAGACAACTACCCTCTAACTACCAAAAAATGTCAAGCCATCTCCTCTCCCGCTCTCTCAAACCACGTTCAGACCAGCTTGGGGAGCCTGCCCTTTTTCCCCCAAAAGCCTCATTATGTCAGTAATAACCTTTCTACACCTTCTTGGTGTCTGTGGGATCATCACCCTTGACATCCAAACTGAACTTTGGGTGGGGACCCATCCTGCTGCTGCAGGGTGGTCATGACACAGGGGAAAAAACTAAAAAACTAGTTCATAATAAAACGGCTATAACTTACATATCAAACCAAAATCTGAAAACATGCTGAAAACTCCAACTAACTTCTAGAAATTTAAAATCTACTATCCTAATTCCAAAAATATATGAAGTATATATAAAAAGTAAGTGCTTTGGATGAAACGAGGCTAAAACTATGCTCAGCATAGTCTTAGAGGAAAAAGAATTCTCAACGTATGGTTAATGAAGGCCAAAGTAGGGTTTCAAAAAGATATCTGGAAGCAGAAAAAGATTTTTAAAAACCTGGGGAAAAATGAAAAGAGAGTAAACTTTCAAAGAAAAAGTCACTCAAGTATCCTAGAGCTAGACTGAAGTAAATTGTCAAATGTTTCCTCAGCACCTCTTGGTTAGTAAGATAAAAGCAATGACAACTAGCTAACATTTCTGAGCTCCTGGTCCGCGCACTGTGCTAAGTGCTTTCCACACACTATAATAACCCTATCAAACAGGGGTTATCATTGTCCACATTTCATAGAGGTAAGAAACAGGCTTGTGCACAGGACAGTGTGCACGAAGAGGAGAAGGAAGCTGTCTAAAGGTGTACAGGTGACAGAGCAGGGCTGGGACCCAGATATTCTGACTCCTCAATCTATACTTTTAACCGGGACTCCACATTGCTTGGTGCAAAACTGAACCCCAGTCAAGCCAGTGACAGAAACAGAATTTTTTTTTAATTTTACTTATTTTTATTTTTTTTAATATATCTTTACTGATTTCAGAGAGAGGAAGGGAGACGGAGAGAGAGAGAAACATCAATGATGAGAGAGTCATTGATCGGCTGCCTCCTACATGCCCCCGACTGGGGACAGAGCCCACAACCCAGGCACATGCCCTGACCAGGAATTGAACTGCGAGCTCCTGGATCCTAGGTCAATGCTCAACCACTGAGGCATGCAGGCTGGGCTAGAGTTGTTTTTTTAAGAATTACCTTGCCCGGCCGGGCGTGGCTCAGCAATTGAGCATTGACCTAGGATCCAGGAGATCAGGGTTCGATTCCTGGTCAGGGCACATGCCCGGGATGCGGGCTAGGCAGCCAATCAATGACTCTCTCATCATTGATGTTTCTCTCTCTCTCTCTCTCTCCCCCTCCTTTCCTCTCTCTGAAATCAATAAAGATATACTTTAAAAAAAATTTAAAAAAAAAGAATTACCTTGCCCTGGCAGGTGTGGCTCAGCTGGTTGGAGCGTCTTTCCCTAGATCAAAAGGTTGCAGGTCCAATTCCTGGTCAGAGCACATGCCTGGGTTGCAGGTTCGATCCCCAGTTGGGGCACATTCCTACATGAGGCAACCAATCGATGTGTCTCTTGCACATCGATGTTTCTCTCTCCCCCTCTCTCTAAGTAATCAATAAAACATGCCCTCCAGTGAGGATTAAAACTAAAAAAATAAAAATAATTACCTTTAATATCTCGTCCAATAAAACAGATTTAATTTCTAAATCCTCAAAGTTACAAATATATCCAGAAGTTTGAATGGGTTCCTTTAAAGACAAAATCAAATGTTATGCTTAATTATATAAAATTTTCCTTCCTCAACATATCATGATTTTAAATTTTATTATCAAATTTTTCAAACCAATAGAAAAGTAGAGAGGATATCATTAACACCCATATACCCATTGGCTAAATAATTATTAACATTTTACTAAATAAGCTTCAGTCAATTTTTTGCCTGAAGTATTTTAAAGTAAATAAAGTAAATTTATACACATCATGACATTCACCCCTAAGTATTTCAGTACATGTCTGTAAAAGATAAAGACGTTCTCTTGTGTGGCCGCATTAGTACTTCCACACCTTACATAACCAATATTAATTCCCTAACAGCATCCAACATCAGTCCAAATTTTCTCAACCCAAAAATGCCTTATAAGGCTTGATCATTCTTATGCATGCAATTTGACATTAAATTTAATTCTTAATAAAATTGACAAACACTATATTTGTATAATTTAGAATTCCTGCTAACACTCGGATGAAACAGTATTCGGCATTAACCATCACACAGCAGTGTGCTTCCGTCCTGAACAACAATGTGGGGGCTCCGTCCCGAAAGCTCCAGCGAGTTCCGTGCTGACGAGCGTGTCCCGACACCGTCAGTCCACAGGCAGCAGGGGAACCAACAGCGAGAAAGGGCCCCAGGGCACCGCCCGCCGGCGCCCTCACCCATGGGAACGCTACACGCCGTCCATGAAGACACCCAGTCGGGGTAAGGCTATAAAAGCCCATCTGGCTGTAAATCTCACAGAAACTGAAGCACCTGCCGAGCCGGGCAGCAGGCTCAAATTTTAAAAGGCTGTTCTGTTCAAACTACTTAAGAAATGCCTTCCGCAGGCACAGACTTCACTGGGCGCTACACGCCCCACATGCGCTAGACACACTCTGAACAGGCAGGCACCGCACCCTCGCTTCTCCAGGCACGTGGCTTCTGAATTAGGATGAGCAGTAGTTAGCAGTAATTTCCAAGGATGGACACAAGGACCCTAACATTCAAAAAGTATTCTGCCTCCGTCTTCAAGGGGACCCTGTGGTTACCTGTCTAATCCCCACACTTGTTTTGTGGCAAGGGCCGAATTTCCCTTGGACCCTTGGAAGAAGCCAGCCACACTTATAGATCAAGTGAGTGCCTTTCCTTCGACCCATTATTTTAGGGTCCAAAAATTACACAGATCCTGAAGGCTCCAAACAGTGCTAACAAAACCTTTAAGCAATTTATTTCAGGTCATTTACCAACCCAAAGACCCTGTAGGGATCAAAGGAGGAAGTGTAAAAATAATTTAGGGTATTAAAGAGGCAAATAGTTCACCACTGAATAAATTACTACAGAAGACCGTCAGCAGCTCAGGAGCCCAAGCATGCAATTTCTTCCCCAAGCAGAAAACTATAGGTCCAAACCAACATCAATTAATGACATAAAGCATTTATTAACCCATCTATTATTATTTACATTAGTGGGGTACAGAAAATTCCAAATTGAAACTCCATTAATCATTTCAAAGATTGATCTTAATGATGGCTACCACTTAAATTATTTTGAATTTCCTAAACACAACAGTTAACAGTTGATCCAGAGCAGACTGAAAGGAGAATTCAGCGCCTAAATATTAGCTGATGTGAGCCACAAGTAGGAAAGCAAAATATAACTTTAAAATTAGTGGCAAGGGGCTTCCTGGCACCCCCGCAAGAGTAAATCAGTCACAGTCTACATTTGCACATTCATAAGGTTATCAGACTAAGAAGGTGGATTAGTGGGTGACAGCGCCTGCGTAATGAGGAGGGGAGCACACAACAAGGCAGCAGCACAGGCAGAAAAAAATGGAAGGGCGAGGCCATTTCAAAACACGCTTTTTGGGTTAGGTTGTTTTAAGCATTTATGGTAAATAAGTACTGATTTTTTTATTTTTTTATACTTCCACAGGAAAAAATAAAGACAATAGTTAATTATCACAGTTTCGCCTTTTAAGAAAACAGATAAAACGCTTAGGAAGTGCCTTTCAGAGGAAGTGGAGAATATTTAAAGGCCAAGTATTAGTCCCCCTTAAGACCAAATATTTTCAAACTCTACAGAAATGTTTCCATTTCCTTTCAGAAACTCACGCAGCCAACACCAGTAAACCTGCTGGAGAAACAAAGGGGAAATACCAGGGCCTTGCTATGTGGCTCATCATGTACCATTAATGCTCACTTCTTGTTCTTACCTCAGGATCCAAGTTTCTGAAAACATACATCCTTGTCTTCTCCATCATTGCAAACAAGTCAGGATTATCTTTGGCCCACTTCATGTCCCAGACATCCCTTCTCTCCAATTTCAACAGCTCGCCGATGGCTTGCTGTCCCGTGCTGTCTGTCACCCGAGCGTCCAAGTCAAAGAAAGTTAGAACTCCTGAGTGGTCTATGATGGCAAGACGACTACAAATAATGAAATGGGGGAAGGGAAACTAAAATCACTACCAGCAATCATGAATATAATTACCTATAACCAGTCAGCTCATGGGAACCCGGGAATAAGGAGGAAATGCCTTTAAATAAAGAGCTGACTCGAAACAAATGTTTACAAATTTGATAGAAGACATGGACTACTCTCCACTTTGCCTCCTTGAGGGAAGAAGGTATCTGAGAGGATTAAAGCAACTGGCATATAAATAACTTAAAACATTACACTAGAACTTCTATAGTTTACCCAATTGGAGAAAGACATCTAAACCAAATACAGTACAAAAATATAAATATTAGTAAAACCACGCTCAACTATAAGGCAAGTTTAAACGAACACACATCTTTGCACTTACTACATAAATACAGCAATCCAAAGCGATAACCTCTAAATCAGACACCTGCTTGAGGAGAGTTCTCAGACTGACCTGGAGTTGCAATTCAGCGACAACTGGCTGGCTCGACAGTTAAGGGAATATTTTTGAACCAAACCGACATTAGGAAGACTGTATCTCTGAATGGTGCCAGATTCACGACCCTACGGAAATTATTTTTGATTACTAAAGCAAATTTCCCACAATAATATTAAGTTACAACTACAGGCCTCTCTCTATGTTCATACATTTGTTTCAAAATCAAAGTGATGGTGTCACAGAGAATTCCCTGGTAATACTGAATCATGCTACTGAGCACATATATATCTCCTAAGTTAATTAAAGCCTAAAAAAGTGGCCAAAGGTGACCCAATTTCTTTTTCATGTAGCATTTGAAACTGAAGTCAAAAATCTAGTCCTTCAATAATACATACATTCTTACATTACAAGGAGGAAACACCTAGGGTTATTTATAGTTGTTGTCTAGGTAATATTCAGGGTATATTAAAAGCTAAAATATAAAGCATTTACAGAATTAAATTTCATACATATGAAAAATCAATGTAAGATCACCATATGAAACAGTTGCTACTGAAAGTCTATCTGATCCGAGTTAGGGAGATGATCAGAAAGCAGTGATACAATCAGTATTAGTTTAAATGTGTTTAAAAATAAAAATAGAGTATAAGTTCCTGTGCAACTCTGTGCATGCCTTGAGGAGAGCACTGTGGTTCTCAATGGGACACAGTGGAGGCTCACTGGGCAGCCAATCTTCCCCTCTCCCCTTTGACAGAGCAGCACTGCTTTTGCAGCGTGACTCTCAAGGGCGCTCCATCAGAAAGGCTGGGGAGGGCCAGAGGGTGGGGAGGGGGAACAATTGTTTTAATGTATAAAAGGGACATATGGGTTTTACAAGATTTAATATGTTGACAAAATAGTTTTATTTTTGAAAAAGGGGATCCTGTGGCATAAAAAGTCTGAAAAAGCAAAGTTCAAAAAACTGCTTACATTGCAAGAGTGGAAAGCAGTTTTCAATGCAGAGGATATCTTTTCCATTGGAACTTTTGGCTGGTATTAAAACTATTTGAGTGTGTTTCTTAGAGGTAGATTCTGTCATTTAGGAATTAGGTCAATTTTTGTGATTGCTCTGAGTTGCATGTGGTTTTTTTTCTTCTGCAAATGTCAGAAACACACACACAAAAAAAACAGCCTACTGTATAACAAAGAATCTCAAAAGAAAACAAGCACACCCAGCTGGTGTGGCTCAGTGGCTTGAGTGGCCTCCCGTGCACCAGAGGTTGCTGGTTCCATTAGAGGTCAGGGCACATGCCCAGCTTGCAGAACCCAGGCTCGATCCCCAGTAGGGGGCGTGAAATCCATGTTTCTATCTCTCCCTCTCCCTTCCCCTCTCTCTAAGAAAATCAATAAAAACATATTTTTAAAAAGAAAAAAGAAAACAAGAGATTCCACAGACCTAAGGCAAACTGCTTAAACATACGCCATGTTCACCTGGCGAGGAAAAAGGAACACTGTGTTCTTAAGGCTTTTCCTCCCTGAAATGAACTAGTGGCTAAGGCACATAACTAGAACTGCAAACAGACACCATTAAGGCTTGGTTTACATAATTCAAATTCAGTGACTCTACCAGCATTACTATGTTAAAGTAAACATTTATCTCTAAAACTAATATTTTCAAATGTCAGAACTCAAGAAAAGACGCTATACACTGATGTTATTTGAAAAATTCAGCAAAGACTTACTATATACTTCTTTATTTTACTGGTTAGCAAACACACTGCCTCTTCATCCTACAAAAGCAGCTGAGCCAAAGCACTTTCTCCAATTTAAACTAGCAGGCCACAGGGAGGGGGAAACTTTCTAAACCTACTACTACCATCCAATCTGCCCCGCTTCTGCCAGCCCTGTAGAGGGCTCATTCAACCCAGTGTCAAACTCTCCCCACTGGCCCCCATTCCACTGCTTTTACAAACAGCTATTTTTGCAAAAGATGAACAATTTATTACTTATGTTGAATTCAGTAAAATGCAAAGTGCCCTATAAGATGATATTCAAATCCAAAACATATTGCTTTACTCTGTTTTACAATTTAAACAATTATTATTCATAAAATAATTTATTCACAACTTACCACAATCAACATCTTATCAGATGCAGTTATGGCACAAATTGGATCCCTTGTGCCCTAAAATAAATCAATAGTTATTCTTTAACAAATACTGATTGACTAATCTGGTATAAGGTAGTATGCAGTTGAACAACACATTTATTAACTTAACAAACACTTACTAACTGAGCACCTACTATGTGCCAGACACTGAACTAAGCACTGGAGATACTAGAATGAAATCTTTACCCTCAGGGATTAGTCAGAAGTCTACTGGGAAAGACAGTGAAACAAACACCTAACTACATTACAGTATCATTAAAAAAAGAGGTCCACACAGGAGTTATGAGAGCACAGCGGAAGGATTATCTAACTTACACAAAATGGGCAGGGAGGCAAAAACCTGAGCTTACTCCTAAAAGGTGAACAGATGGTAGAAGGACCAACTATGCCAAAATGAAGGGAGAAATGGCCTGGTAACGCCACACCTGGATGGCCCTCAAGAGATTATGCTTAGTGAAAGAAAGCCCATCTCCAAAGGGCACATGCTGTATGATTTCATTCGTAAAACATTCTCAGGGTGTCAAAACTCTAGAGATGGAAACAAATTAGTGGTTGCCAGGGAACAGGGATGCAGTGGAGAGGGGGTGTGAAAATAAAGAAGTAGCACAAGGCAAGTACCTTCCTGATGATAAAATCACATAAGACTATGTGCACAAGTATACATGTATGAACCAGTGCAATCAATAAGGACTCAGGCCACAGTTTAACAACAATAGTGCCAAGGTCAATCTCCTGATTTCGGTATCATACTCCACTTACACAAAATGTCACCACTGAGGAAGCTGGGGAAAGGGGTTCTATGTGCTATTTTGCAACTCCCTGTAAGACTACAATTATTTCAAAATAAAATGTTTTTAAAAATCAAAAGAAGAAAAAATTAGATCTAGAAAATAGTTTTCAGAATAGAAAATTTTTAAAAGAATTACTATAGTAATATCCTATCACTGGAAACACACTCTTTTTCAGGTCTCAAAATAAAATTACAGTATTTCCAAATCTATAGATATTAACATCTGATGGCAGCAATAAAATCACCTACTTGAATGGCTTTGCTATAATCAAGCACCCCATCCACTGATCCAGAAGGCGTATCATCAACATGATAAATTCTGGGGGAAAATCAGAATTTCAGTGATTGTATAAAGGTTATACTAGTTCATAATCTCTAGAACAGTTAAAGGACTGGAGAACACCAATGAATATTGTTATTTAATATAAATGTCATTATTTTAAAGAGTTCTTGACAAAGCTCAATCTTAATAAAGGTAGAAACTATCTACCAGGTGTTTATTAGTTATACAAGTCTCATGTTCCTGAAAGCTGTGCCAAAAGTATATTTGAACATTGACTCACCTATTTCCAATGAATTTCATTAAGCCCCAAGAGATATTTTACCTTACTCTCCAAATGAACATCAGTCAGGAGTCACTTACACTAAGTTTCTCTTGTTTCTCCATAGCTTCCCTTCTACCAATGTGCTTAATAAAAGTGAAACCTTAATATACTTGGGAAGCTCTAACGAGTGGAGTTTTTGTTCCAAATTCTTCCCTGCACTTACTGGGTCATGAAGACCCACCACTGTGGGGCTTCCATCATCTCTCTGACACCTGGACTGTCACACTTATTCGCACTGCAGTCTCACTGCCAGTTTACTAGTCTCTCCCACCAGCTGGTGAGCTGCCTGGAGACAAACACCATTTCTCCAGTGCACATACTGTCAGGTACTCTATAACGTCTGCTGAAAAAATATTAAAATAAATGGAGGTAAACAGAGTAGATACATCAGAGAGTAGCTCTGAGGCCTTAGGCAAGTTGCTTAATTTCTCTGAGCCTCAGTTTCTTCATCTGTAAAATAAGGGTGACAACTCCCCCTTTAGAGGGCTTCTGAGGGGCACAAATGAGGTGCTGTTTATAAGCATATGCATAAACAGCCCGATATGTAAAAGGGGCTCAAGAAACTGTAACATAATCACAGGAAAATCAAGCCATTTTCCAGCTTTAAAATACCATAAAATTTTATCATTGCTTAATTGAAATTATAATTGTACTTTCATCAATGTATCAAGGAGATCAAATGTTGAATTTAATGTAAATATATTAAATACAGACAGGTGGACCAATTCAAAGGCAGCATATTTCCACATCTTAACAAGTTTCTGTTAAGTATACACAGTTACTATTTCTCCTTAGTCATCAAAATAAAATGCTTTACTTAGTGGTTCAGAATAACAAAAGGGCAACACGGAGCAGCTCTATGAGAAACGACTGACCGCAGAGAACCCCATCCTGGCTCCCAGCTTCTCCATGCGGTGGCGTCCCCTTAACCCCAGTTACCAGAGGTAGTTCCAACTCAGACACCCTGGGACCCAGGGTAAGAGAAAGAAGCCAAGTGACCAGCGCACTCCACCTAGGACACCCTCCATACCCATGTCCGAGAATCTGCCTCTCCCATGGTGACAACACTAGAATCACCCCACCCTCCTGGTCCTGGAAAGACCCGCGCCACTAATACACAGACCCCAGCTGAATCACCATATTTCAGTGAAGCAGTGGAACCGTAACGTGGTGAGAGTGGGTGAGTGAGAACAGCCATTTCCTTATAAAAGCATGGATTTCCAGTCTGTATCTCTAAAGGATTTCCATTATTACACCATGCTTACCTCTCTTTTATTTGGATAAATTTAAACAGACATACTTGAAAGATATTCAAATTAATGAGAAAATATTATTTCTATTACTCAAAACAATTGACCATTCTCAAGAATGACTGTTTATGATGAATTAAGCCTGATTTAAACATGGTATGGTTGAGGGCAGCATTTGAGATCTTGCTTCCCAGTATATGCTGTCAGTTCAACTCAAAGAAACTCTTACAAGAATTCTCTACGGGTTTTGGAAAAATAAAAAATAAATAATATAAATGGGATATGGCTGAGCTTCTAAAATACATGCATCAAAAGATCTACCTTTCTCTCCCTTCTTTCCGAGGCCGTATCAACTGATTAATTTCCAACGCTGTGAGCTTCTTTGACACACGGTATTGCCAGATATAAAATGCTTCTTTTGAAGCCGCTATCACATGGGTTTTCGTCATTGCAACAAATGATGGTACTATTAAAAAGAGCATCGGGACAATCAGGTGAGAGTTACACAGAATCACAGAATGTACCGCAAAGGACCTCAGTGACCACTGAGTTTAACCCCTCATTTTACAGACAGCATACCCCACACAGAGTCTGGGAAATCAGATGAGAGTCGAAAGCTTATAAACCCATACAAAAATATTAATTCCAAATGGGTCAAAGACCTAACTATAGAACTCTTAGAAAAAAAAGTAGGAGTAAATCTTTGTGACTTTGGGTTAGGCAATGGTTTCTTACATGAGACACCAAACATTTAAGCAACCAAAGTACATAAACTGGACTTCATCCAAATTAAAAACATTTGTGCTTCAAAAGACACCATCTGAAAGCTGAAAAGACAACCCACAAAAGGGAGAATATATTTGCAAATCATATACATGATAAGGAATTATATCTAAATTATATATAAAGACTTATAACTCAGAGACAAATAGTCCAATTGAAAAATGGGCAAAGGATCTGAATAGAAATGTCTCCGATGAAGACACACAAATGACCACTAAGCCAATGCAAAGGTGCTCAGCAGCAGCAGCCACCGGATAAATGCCACTTCACACCCGCCACACTTGCTACAGCTAAGCAGTCAGATGAGAGCATTGGCAAGGATGTGGAGAAGTGGTGGGAATGTACAGTGGCGCACAGCTTAGCAGTTCCTCAAAACGCTAAACACAGAATTACCCTCTGTGCCAGCAGGCCCACTCTTAGGTATGCCCAAGAGAAATGAAAACATATGTCCACACAAAAACTCATACACAAACGCTCATAACAGCATTGTTCATAATAGCCAAAAAGTAAAATCAGCCCAAATGTGCATTAACTGATGAATGAATGCATACATAAAATCCCATTCCTTCCGCCCACCCCCACCACCACCACTCAGTGTGGGCATTTACCCTTCCCTCCAATCTCGCATGTCTTACACTTCCTCGTTAAGTTACAGAAGAAAATTCTCCAAACTTCCTTCCTAATTTGGGAGTATATTCTCCTAAACATATAGCTTTTTTCATAGTTCTACTTCTTAGAGAATGTTCGATTAAGCTCCTACTGTGTACCCTTTAATGAAAGTCTCATCAAACCCATCCTACAGATAAATGGACAATTAAAGAAGTAAAATAACTTGTCCAAGGTCACAAATAAAATAAACAACATAAAATTAAATGAATTCACACAAAATATTTTTTTTAAAAACTCCATAAAAGATCATTTTAGTACCTAATTTCTAAATTCATGATTAAAATGGCACAAAAATTATTCTTCTACTCATAAATATCATGAAAAGTCATTATATATATGGCCAGGATAAACAAATGGTGTTAACTGCAGCTATCATTTATGGAGTCCTTGCCACAGGCCAAACAAGACATTAAAGCAGTAAGAGGCTTAGAAACTGAACAAAGAATTAGAAACTAGACTGGTGGTATGATGCTAATGGAATAGATTAACAACTTGGGGATTCAAATTCAAGAACATTTAAACGCTAAATAACTCAGTATAGTGAATCGTATTTTTAAAATGTTTTCCCTTACAATTGTCAAGATTTTTCTATTAAAAATGTGCGCTATTTCCAAACTCTAGAGGGAGGCAGAAGCCTTTCCTGTGGGAGTGACTGGTTGAAAGGCAGCCCTGGAGAGGAGCGAGGCCCGTGGAAGCACAGAACAGAGTGGATCAGCAAGCCTGGGGCCCTGCTCGGCAGCATCGTCCGTCCACGAAATCACAAGGTTCTCATGAAATTCTTGGTCAAGTCTCCCACCGAGACTCTGATGCTGGTAATTGTTATGTCCTTAATGTGATGCAAAGATCACAAACCATAGCTGCTTTCTCATAAAATATCATATTTCCTGAGCATATTCTTTTTCTAACCAATGTTTACCTACAATTATAAATTACACTCCTGTCCCTTTTTGATTTTGATACATCCTAAATAATCACTAGTTTATCATTAGCCTGATTCATTCAAAATTAAAATATTAGTGGTTCTCAGTAAAAGTCAGACTTCCTGGATGCAAACCACAGGCATTTGCTAACTCTGTGGCCTTAGATAAACTACTCTTCTCTCTGAACCTTAGTTTACTTACCGTAAACGGAAGATAACAATAATAATAGTAACCTTACAGGAAATGTCATAATTAAGTTCTTATCCCTCCCTGTACCCAGTGTAAGTACCTAAAACAATACATGCTCATTGATGGTTTACTAAATAAATGGGCTGCATTTTAAATATTTTCGTACATTCAATAAACATTTGTTATGGGGCAAGTATAGTCTTACGCAGTTGGGATACAGAAATGAATAGATATAGATGTTAAAGAAGCTCAGAATCTCATGGGGAAGACGGACAAGAAAATCAGCAATCAGAGCAGAGTAAGTTTTGAACAGAAATACACCAAGGGTGCTCTGAGGGCTCAAAGGAAGAACGCCAAAACAGGGTGCCTAACTCCTACGTGTACAGTACAACACAGTCCCACGAACGCATGAAGTTCTTTTTTAAAGTTTCTATAGAAACTGATAGGAGGAAGAGTAAGTGTCAAAACAAAAATTACACTTTCTAGAACAATATCAGGTACATACTTTTTTTGCTTTAGCCTCCAGTCCGCATGAAAATCTGGCATAGAAACTTAAAAAAGAAATTTTAAAGTATAAAAAAATACTGAGTCTTGGCTGAGTTTACTTTGGCAGTAAACCAATGAAAGAACTGTTTGTTAAAATTTCAGCCACAAAGACTGCACCAAAAAAAAGTTTCTAGACTCAAAACTACAAATAATCATGCCCTCAAGCGTTTGCCATTTGATGGAGGCAAAGAATTTACATCTGGCTTTATTAAAAAGTAGAGTACCCTCTATCAAAATTACTTTGAGGCTAATCCTACCAGCATTACGATTCTGTATTAAAACTGATATTAAAAGAAAAAGCATAATCTGAAAGATGACAGAACTCACCCCCTTAGACTTCTATTTCTAATAAATAGAAGATACTCATGTGACACACCGGTAGTTATTTTAATCTAAGCCTTTTTAATAAGGAACACTAACATATATATGTATATACACAAATACATACTATGCAACAACAAATATAAGACATGAAGTTGAAAAGGTTCAAGATATAGAAGTTACCAAGACAAACGTAAGTATAAAATCTTTGAAGCCCGTAAATATTTCTCACATTTTTATTACCCACAGGGTTCAGCAAAATAAAACACTTAGAAGACAGACACTAACATTTGACTGTTAAGGCTAAATGTGAAATCTGAAGAAAAAAAAGAAACAACTAGTTTCAGATTCAGAACATAATTCAATGGGTTTTCAGTTTTTGAAATCTAATAATTTTTCTAATACCATATCCAATAAACTACCATATGCTTTCAAAGAAAACCATTACTTCTGGAAGTTATAGTGAAACAGCAACAATATATTTGGTAATGGTTTTTAACAAAATACTTAGAATAAGATTGGTAATTTTTTAAGGGTACTTTCATAGAATTTGGATATAGGAATGGCACATCTAAAGTAACAAATATCTGAAAACAAAAAGTAAGGCCTTTTTAAAGTTGTCCCTATTAATAGACATATTTCATTGGAAAATTCTGGAAAAGTAAACTCACTTTTATAAGCAGCTAAGTGGTTTTTTTAGAAGAGAGGTATTTACAGGCAGTTTATTAATAATAAAAGCGGTTTAAGGGAAAAATTCTTTCTATAATCCTCAGTTTATTACATACTAATCATTACCTTGCATACCAAGTCCTATACAATTATAGCTCCCATTTAAAGCAAATGATGGCAGTATAGCAGTTGTGAGATTATGGATTTTAGATAAAATAACCTTATAATTGACTGTATCACCCGGGATACTTCTGGTTAATTCAGTGAAAGGGAGCATTAACAATGGTACCATGGTAACAGGCATAAACTGGGCCTGGCAAACCAGCAAGCACGGGCCTCCTCGTTTTGGAGAACACCATTCTGATTTAATAATGCCACCGTTAGGTTTTCACATCAGTTTTACAAATAAATCTTGATTAAAGAGAGTATAAATAGTAACATTTCCTTACCAATATCAATGTATTTGGGATCCAACGGTGTACCAATAGAATTGCAAAGAACTAGTATAAACTGTGAACAAATAAAACAAAAGGTATCAGAACTCCTGCTTGAGGACAAGAAAGGAAATAATACTTAACCAGATCATGCTTATCTCTTTTTCCAGTATCACTAACTGGGAAATAATAGATAAAATTGTTAAGTCAAAGTCTAACAGATAAATATAATCTACAGCCTTAAAAATAAAGAAATATGAATTAAAATTCAAACAAGGCTCATTTCTCAATAATGGAATACTGATTTTTATGAGGCCACTTAAGAAACACAAATACACTGGCTACTTTTCATTATTTATACTTCTCAAATTCCTGATCAGCTATAACATCAATATTAATTTTTATTCTATGATGAGCTTTAAGAGCTAATTTAACTTGTTACCGTTCCACCAAATGTTTCCAGCTCGTTCTCCTCCTTTGAAGCAATATATAAATGACATGAGAAATTCAGAAAAATTCAGTTAATTTGGAAAAAACATAATCCAACCTAGTGAAAATGACTTAAAGTGCCCATTATTAACACATATGTGGATAATTATCAACAATTCATATTAGGGAAATAATCAAGCATAATGCACACTTTATATCATATTATTCTAAAGTGATCATTTCATTTTTTTTTACTGTTAACCGTCTTTTTTGTATCTTGTACTAAGAATACTATTTTACTTGGATGTTCTCCTGATTAGGGTAATGATTTCAAATTAACAAACTCTCTACGCATGATTACACTTACACTTTTCCTCTTTCCAGCATCTCAAGTAAAATTTGTATAATTTCATAAATACATTCTAAATGTTTGTATATGGGCGAGCCTCCTTGACGCCGGGCAGGGATGCTTCCTTGGGGACACCCAATGTGAGTGCTTTCAGAGGCCTTTCTCTGCAACTGGTCAGATTCTCCAGAGAGCACTTATCAATCACCTGCCTAGTAGCTGTACGTTTAGCTGCCAGTGTTCTGGAAACCAAGTGGGCCATGCTTGACAAATAGATGACTACAGCCCAATTCTGCCAAGTAGGCAACTCACCTACGTTTTACAATGTCAAGGAACACCTACCTGAGGGTGTTCCTCAGCTTTCGTAGCCAAAATGCAGAAATCTCCACAGGTAGTAATAGAAATGAGACTCTTCACATATTTAATGTATTTCTCATTGTTTTTCGTGTCCCAAAATATAACACAGTACTCAGGACGATCAGGTCTGGTATAAGCATAAACTACGGTATTTGAGCAATAACCCCACTAGGAAAACACGAAGGAAGAAAGTGGGGAAAGGGAGGGGGGAGAGGGGAAGGAAAGACAGGAAAGGGAGAAAGGGCATTTAACAGTGGGAAAGAAAAACCGTATCATTATATTTTTATTGTAGAAATATTGCAGATGCGTGGTTTATCAGTTCTGACAAAATCTATTTTTCAGATATGGATGACAAGACTGAACATTCAGCTTAATACCTTTTCTTTCTCATTAAAATAACAAAAAATCTAAGAGTAATATAGTTATCAAACAAATAATAAAGTGCAAAAATAAATTCGTTTGTTTGGCTTTCCTTATTTTAATTTGTAAGATTTACGCCTCAGTGGTAAAAATTTCACATTTTTCAATAGTCAATAATAGCCGTATGATCCTGTCAAATGTTTAAAGTCTGGTCCCCAAACCAAATTCAAAAAAAGATGCTTTGCCTTTTTTCCACCAATCCCATTTTTTATATTTGTTTTTCTCAGAGTAACATATGCACAGAGCTTATAGTCAAATAACTCCACATGGTTTATTTAAAACAAAAACAAAATGCAGACACCTCCCCCCCACCAATTTCCCCGGGGGTAGCCATTTACAACTCATTAAGCTGTAATGGTTTGGGTATTATCTCCAAGTCCCTGTAAGCACTGATTACAAAACTTAGACATGCAGAGCTTCCCCAGTACATTTACATGTTAACTCTGAATAATTCTATATGGCTGTGTTTACCATTCAAAGCTAAGCCACGTTTACTTTTTATGCCATGATCCTTCCCTTGGGAGCTCTTTCAGGTTGGCTCCTGCGTCTCTTCGGACCACCCTGCCCTCCCATTTTCGGAGCACCTCCTGGCTTGCTGCCCCTGTGAGACGCTCCAGCTATCTTCTACTTCCCCCACACTAGTCCTAGAATCAGCCATTTCTCCAAGGTTCTTTGCCCTTCAAAAATTAGATATATGTCTTTTTAATAATAAATGCTCTTAGTAGTTCGACAGCTCAGTCATACTTCAGAACTTGTCTTGGATCAGATGTTAAATTTTAGATAAAATAAAATACTCATTAGTTCTTATGCTGCTCATTCTTATTTCCCCCCCTGACCCATTCTCTGCCCTTCTCTACCCTGCTCTGTGCCCTGGGGCTGACTCCTATGAACGCCATTCCCTGGGTTACCTTGCTTTCTGGTTTGTCCAAGAAAAGATACAGCAGGTGGAGAGAGGGTTGAAGTATTTACTCCCCAAACTCTCTCGGCCCGGCCAGCTGGCAGTGGCTGTGCTCCTGCAGGGGGCCCTCTTGCACAGCCATAGCTCTCGTGGGTTCCAGAACAATACTTCCTTACCCTGCCCATTGCTGCCAGTCTCTAGGTGCTGGCTGTGATATCCTTACTGGTCCCCTTAACCCTGTCCATCCCCTGAATAGGCCCTTCATCCCTCTCTCTCAATGACTCCTTTGAGCCATCTGCTTCCTGTGAGACCCTGACTGTTGGAGTAATGTTACTAATTATGTATAGTCTCCTGGAAAAGCTTACTAGTTCTACGGTCTTTACACTAAAAAGCCTCCTTTCAGCTGGTTTCTAAAACAAACAGGCTATGAACATGTGAATAGATGCAAGAAACACATATTATACTTTGAGCTATAACAAAATTATTTCGTAAAAAAGAGCTTTTTTTTTTTAAACTGCTCATAATACTCACCTTATAATCAGGTCGAATATTTGCAAAATATATAAAATAATCAACAGCTAGCGCGATCTTCAGTCCACCTCCTTCCCAAGACAGCGCAGATATCTGCTTCCCAGCAACCTTCAAAGTTCCTAGAGACTGAAAAAATAATTATATTTAACCAAAAGTATCTCAAATAAACTACAAATTACCACCAATCACCTCACAGGAATCAAAACTGGTATGAAAATTATTTTGTGGAAGGTTGCTACTCCCTTCAAAGTCATTTGCCTTGAATTTTTATAATGAAAACCATACACATGACAGGAGAAATTTACAAACTACAGCCAAAGAATTCAGTATCAAACATGAGTCTTTATTTTATGTACAACTAAGGAAAGAGAAAAAATGCATTAAGTTTAGTTACTGATAAGTTCTCATTTTCTGAATGCTTTAAAATTCACAATATATTCACTCTCCTATTTGAAAATTAAATTTAGTAATAATACTGTTGAGAAGGAGAGCATATGCATTTATGAAAACAATGCTTATCTTTTCATGTAGAATCACCTAAGGTTAATTATTAAGATAGGTTTTCTTACAATAATTGATTATTCCACAACAAATTAAAACTATTAGAAGTTTAGGGGAAGGACAGGCAGATACATATATTTAATATCTATGCACATTTAATCTATCACACTAAAAATCCAAAAAATGAATCTGAAACAACTAAATTACACCAAAAACGACTCAAAAATCAGCTGTGAAAACAGATGCATATTCAGATCACAGAGAAAATATTCTAAATAAATATTCCATGGTGATATTCTTACGTGAAACATCTGGTTTTCTAAATGTACAGATAGTAAAATAAATTCCAGGATAAAACACAACTATGAAGATTTATAATGAGGATCATTCAAAGATACACCTGGTATTTATACTGAAAATGTCCTGTATAAAAAATGTGAAAAGTTTATACCTTTTCCTCTGTTCTTTTCCCCCTACCTTACTCGTTGCACATTTAAATGGAAAGAAAAGAAGACAAAACCTCCCATGCATTTACCTCACCAAATGGAGTGTAAAACTGCACGATGTTGGCCTCTTTATCAGGAGTGCCGGCCTTCTGGGAGCCTGCCACGGCCAGCACGCTGCCCGTGTGGTTCCACTGGATACTTACGACGTACATGCTAGTGTCGATTAAAACAGGATCTAGTCAAAGAGGGAAAGGAGGCAACTGTGGCCAAACACTTCACCTAGAGGACTTTATCAGCTTAAGGACAATTTTTAAATATTTTTTTAACTCTCCACATTAAACATTACATACTTTGGTCATTCTCGTGTCTCATTATTTGGCACCTGCCATTGTCGAAACAAACAGCCAGGCAGGGGCAGTCGGGCTCCACGTAGCCCTCTGTACCGTGGTACCAGTGAATTCCTGCAATGCTGATTGCTCCAGTGACATTCACCAAACAGTTCAGCTTCATTTTCATCTAATAAAATCAGTCAGGTTAGTTAATAGTCTATGTTTTAAAAGAGATCAGTAAGAATAGAGTATTGTAGAAAAAACACAGAAAACAGGATTTAAAAGTCTGGTTTCAAATGCAATCTCCATCACTTACAGGTTTACCAACCCTGGACAAATCCCTTCACCCGAGTTTCAGTTTTCCCATTTGCCACATGAGGATGGAAAACACTCAGAGTTTTTATGAGACTCAAATGACAAGAGGTACATAACAGTGCTGTGAAAATAGCCAAGTGTCATAGAAAAGCTGGCTAGGACCACTTCCACCGACGAGTGGATGTGTGTAAGGTCCTGGCCCTGACCAAGACCTGCCCACATGAACAGACCCGGCACAGCTAAATCTCACAGAACCAGAGTCTTTCCTGAGATGCTGCCCATTCATTTTGCCTTCTTTCCAGGCTTTCTTGATTACACAAACCATCATAAATAAATGTGTATACATATATGAATGATATATAAAATAATCATATAAAATTATATAAATACAACTAATGAATATATGGGTATATACTTACTATAAAGTTCCCTTGACTATCATAAATGTGTATTTCTCCATTTGCCATTCCAAAAAGTAAGACTTTACCATCAGCGGACCATGCTACATGCCACAACTGTACACCCTTCAGGTCTTTTCCCCAAATGCGATTCCCTGAAACAAAACATACAACATAATTATTCCATTAAAAGTTCAAGGTTATGATTCTCCACCAACTGCTCTAAAAATCTTTGTTTCGCTAAAGAGCTCTCACACTGTCACAGCATTCCCACGTCTGTTCAGTTTATTCCGTCAAGAAACATTTGTCACGTAACTACTACCTGTACTACTTAGTAAACACCCTCGTAAACATCTGAAACGTGAAAGCAGCTGTTTCCAACTTTCTCTTCTCTTCTAAACCCTGACCCAGGACCTGACCCCCAATGAGTAGATGAATTCATCTTCTACTTTGGAAAGAAGAGCTTTCAAAAAGGAAATCCTTTATTCCCACTTTCAAACATCTAGAACGTACCTGAATCCACACTTACCCCTTCTGCCCTGCCCCCTAATACAAAAGAAAAGGTATGTCCCGCCCTGGCTGGTTTGGCTCAATGGTTAGAGCATCGGCCCGTGGACTGAAGGGTCCCAGGTTCGATTCTGGCCAAGGGCATGTACCTCAGTTGCAGGCTAGATCCCCAGCCCCAGTCGGGGCATGTGTGGGAGGCAACCAATCAACATGTCTCTCTCACATCCATGTTTCTGTCTCCCTTCCTCCCTTCCATTCTCTCTGAAAAGCAAGGAAAAAATATCCTCGGGTGAGGATTTAAAAAAAAAAAAGAAGAGGTATGTCCCCAAGCAGACACCCATCTAAGGCTAATCCCTCCACCTATTCTCTGACCTAATCCCTGCCTAGCTTTGCAAAGATCTCCCTCTGCTGACAATTCACATTTTCTCTTTCTCTTTAAACTCTTTCCAGGCTCTTTCTCATAAGTATTTATACATATTCAGATCTATTCCTCTTCATAACCACCACCTCAAATAAAAACGAGCAAAACAAAAGCCACTTCCTCAAACCCCAATTCCCCTCTTGCTCCCACCCCCTTTCTGCCACTCCTTTCCCAGCCAGACGTCTTGACAGTTATCCACGCCTGTGGCCTCCACTTGCTCACCACCCACTCAGCCCTCAGCCCAGCACAATCTGGCTTGTGCCCGCAACCTCACGGAACTGCCTTCATGAAGGTCACTAATGCCTGTTGCTAAGTCCAACGTTTTTCTTTTCTTTCTTTTCTTTTCCTTTGACCACCCCTCCCTCCCTTCCTTCCTTCCTTCCTTGTTCCTATGAGTCTGTATACTCCTTTATCTACAAGACTTCTAGTTTTTAGAATCTCTTGTGGAAATTTCTGCCATCCACAAAATGATGTTGGTCCTTAGTCCACAGATGGCCCTTAGGTTTGTCATCTATTCCAATGGTTTAAATTACCATCCATATGCTGGCGATGCCCAAAATTATGCCTTCAGCCAGATATTTCTGAAATGCAGACATGTATGTCTAACTATAGTCCTGACATGTTTACTTGGATATCCTATGGCATGACAAAGTCAACATGTTCAAAACCAGTCTTTCTCCCACATCCCTTATTTCAAGAAAGATACCACCATCCATCCAGTTGCCAAAGCTAAAAACCTGGATATCACCCCAGACCCTTCCATCCCCACATCTCCAATCCAATCAGTAATAAGGTCTTATCTGTCCTACCTCCTAAGTATCTCTAGAATGTGTCTACTTACTTCCCAGCTCAGGCTATCATCCACCATCATCTCTCACCCAAATTACCATAGTCATTTCCTGATTGGTACACCTGCCCCTTTCTTTCCTTTCTCCATTCCTCATATTACAGGTACAGAGATGTTTCTAGAGAACAAATCTGATCACATTGTCCCCATTCTTAAAACCTTTCATTGGGTTCCCAATACTCTTAGATATAAGTCCAAACTCCTTTTCTAACTTACAATCTTCTTGGTCTGGCCTCTGCTACTCTTGCTAATTTCATCAGATACAACTCTTCCCCCTACTATTATATCACACTGATTGTCAAAATGTTTTCAATACTCCAAGTATGGCTAAGTTCAAACCCTCTGGACCTCCTCAAATGCTATTTCTTAGGCCCACGACATTCTACATATCAACCTTCCTTGTGGCTGGTGCCTCATCATAGATATGACCTCCTCCAGAATGCCTTCCCTGATCCCTCATACGTCTGCATGTTGTTGTATTTTCCCTGTCTTAGCACTTATCACAAGGCACTGTAATGCTTGGTTGCTTATCCATCTCTCCTGATCTAAATCTGGACTAATTTTTTGTTGTACCTAGTGCCTAGAACTACAGCTGTGATTTTTGTAGGCTCTTAGGAACATTTGTGGAATACACAAAGCTACACACAAAAATAAATTTAAAAATCAGAAAATGACTTATTAAAACAGAGGTACAGACTTTCAGAAGCCAAGTGCTATCTATAAACTAGAATATTAAAGGCACAGTTTTTAAGGCTACAAAACACAGTAACAATGACATGCTCAAGTCTATTAAAAAATGACTGAATGATCATTTCACAATATATAAAATATCAAGTCATTATGTTGTAAATCTGAAACTAATGTTATATGTCAATTATATCTCAACCTAAAAAAATAACGATATTATTATATATCTCTATACTTTTTGAAATTAAAATCTATATATTTATAATATAATGTAACAAGTATAAAGATAAATATATAATTAGGCAGACATATTTAAAATAATCCTGAAAATTTAATTCACTTTTTTTCAGTGCAACTATAGGAAATTTTTTTTTTAATATATCTTTATTGATTTCAGAGAGAGGAAGGGAGAGGGAGAGAGAGAGAGAGAGAGAGATAGAAACATCAATGAGAGAGAAATATTGATCGGCTGCCTCCTGCATGTCCCCTGCTGGGGATGGAGCCCACAACCCAGGCATGTGCCAGGACCAGGAATCGAACTGCAATCTCCTGGATCATAGGTCGATGCTCAACCACTGAGCCACGCCAGCCAGGCTAGGAAATTTTTTTTAAATAGACTTTTTTACTAGAATATACTTAGAAATAAATGATTCTTGAATGTCATCATTTATGTTTATTTTTCTGTGAGAAGACTAACATAGAGTCTAAACCTCTAAAGATAAAAATGTCAACTGAATCTCAATCTCAGTTCTGGGGACAAGAGACATTACCATCCACGGAGCCGACTATCACAGCCCCGTCTTCGTACACAATGCAGATCTTCTGTCCGTCCGCAGTCCAGCTCATGCTCCGAACCACGGATTTGTTTCTATTGTTGATCATTTCCTCATACCAAGAGCCTATTTTCACAAGTGAAAAAAATTACAAGTCAAAACCTCCTATCTATTAAACGGTACTGAAGATTTGAAAACAGTCCATGGACTACAAGGCTAAATAAATAACCGCAAAGTTTTCTACAACCTGAGACATTAAGCAATAAAACCTTCATATCCAACATAAACAAAATGAAAAATTAACGTAGGCCTTGACTAATAATTGCTTCAAAGATTATCACGGAAAACACAGTAAGTTCCCATCTTCTTCTTTTTTTAATACTCACCTGAGGATTTTTTTTCCCATCGCTTTTCAGAGAGAGTGGAAAGGAGAGAGAGAGAGAGAAAGAGAGAGAGAGAGAAACATTGATGTGAGAGAGACACATCGATTGGTCGCCTCTAACACACACGCTGACCAGGGCTGGGGATCGAGCCTGCAGCCAAGGTATGTGCCCTTGACCCGAATCAAACCTGGGACCCTTTAGTCCAACATCTGGCACTCTAACCACTGAGCCAAAATGGCCAGGACAATTCCCATCTTTTTTTTCCTCTCTCTCTTTCTTCCTTTCTTTCAGTCAATTAAAAAAAAAAAAAAAAAAATCAAACTTCATTTGCTTTTGAAGGGCCAAAACAAGTGATTTTTCTCAAAGCTTCACTTTTCCCACTTCAACACACTTCAGATAATAACCAAGAAAAAAAAGAATAATCACAGTAACTTTATATGCATGCCTACAGTCTCCAGTTATTAATTATAAGCATGTGAAATATAAGCATCGCAGGGAAAAACTCTAAGCCTACTCAAAAAACATTTGAAACAGTTTGTATCACATCAGCGATATCACATCACTAATGCTCAATGGCAAAAACATTCTTGTGCACAGGTTTGGGGTGAGATGTGACTTGTCTCAAGGTAAAACCAAATGTGACGCAAATCACAAGTCTGCTTTGTTTTTTAAAAGGCTTTACCACATTTTGGTGTAGGGAACTCTGGCCTACAACCAGATAATCACATAATTTGGAAATAAGTGAGAACCAGGTATTATCAGAGTCAGGACCAAGGCCCAGAGATCCTACCTTAGGAAAAGACAAGGTTTATCCTAATCTCTAATCTCCCATACTTTCACATCCTACTCCCTACACATACATACATAAACACAAAAATGTTAAAAATAATAGTAAGTTCATGTACTATGGCATATTTTTTAACTAAGAATTTTTAAATGGCATACCCTGAACATTTTCAAAACAACACAAGTGAACAAAGGTACCCTTTTCATTTACAAATGATGACCACAGGCCTCAAGAGAACATGTATTATGAGTTGTTGTGTTCTTTTTGGGAATAGTGATGCTCCTACATTAATCCTTCTCTTACTCTCTCATGGGCAAAAGGCACAAATTGGGAGCCAGGAGTCAGAGCTGAGATACAATCCGTATCCATGAAAGAAAAGGATGCTAACTAACTGACTGAATAAAGGAAATGAATTACTGCCTTTGACTTCTTAAGAAATGTCCTTTTATCTACTGACCTAACTCCAGTCACTGACCACACAGACACTAATTTTTATTGGAAACCTGGAAAAACAGGAGCTACCTCCAACAGAAACTATTCTAAGAGTCTAAGTTAATTTTGGAGATAACCAACAGTTACCTAATTCACTTTCCTAATACAAGGTCATAGTTCAAAGGAAATGAATTAAAGGGAAACAAAAGGAGCAATAAATCCAGAAATCTCACCCCTGTGCAGTCAGGATGAACTCCTGCTACTGGTTAAAAGGGGTCTATTTCAAAGACGTTATTTCCCCCATTCAAATACTGTAATCCAGACTCCAATTTGAGAAAGATTAAATAAACTCTCCTAACATACCTTTATAAAACATCCAAACAATGATTAGCCCGTTTTGATCACTGGTAGTCAACTTCTGATATTGCTCATTCCACGTGACAACTTGAACACAACCTAAAAAAAAACATAAAACAATTTAGAAGCTACAAAAAACCTATAATTAATTTCATACATATTTTTATAACAACCATTAAAGAGCATGTTACAATCAATACGGTTCCTGTCCATATATAAAGTAAAAGCTACCTTTTTTCAGATTTATTGAGGATGTTGTTGAATCATGTAATATAAAAGCTGTTGAATGACTCTAGGTTGTATTATGACTCAATAGAAATGATTACTTTAAATATTACAATTATTGAAATGATGACAACTCTGCATTAAGTACATGGTTTCTAAATGATCATTTCATCCTAAAAATGAAATATGGTTTAAAAATTACATGACTTACCACTATGACCTTCAAGATTCTGATTCATAGAGAGGTTATTAGGAGCTGCAAGACCCCTCAATTTCGCATCATCTAGAAAAACAAAAACACAGTATCAAAAACTACTATGGCAAATATATAAAAGTGACAGATTATAAGATTTCAACATTTCTTGCTTTTTTTGAAAGGAGATCCTATTCCTGGATGATATTAGGAATATTTTTTTAAGTATGCCTCATTCTATTTTTCTCACGGTGGAAACATGGACAATAATACATACACCCCTGAAAGGTATTATTCTGGCAAACTAAAGCAAAATGTATACAAGAATGTTGTTTACTCGGTATATTAAATAATTAGTAAGTATTATTACTACTTATTCCTTCCCAAAAGGTCACAAATAGAAGTATTTATGACATATAAATTGAAAAATCTAAAGCTTAAGAGAGATCAAAAAGCAAAGACTTTGGAAACTGGTTTTTACTAGATTTTGCAGAATCTTGAATTCATTCATTCAGCAAATATCTATTGAATATTTACACTGTGCTATGCACTGTGGGAGGTTCTGGATATAAAATGATGAACAAAGTAGCTAAGGCCTCTCCCCTCAGAGAACCTGTAGTCTACTGAGGGGATATAATATTAAATACACACCCACATAAATATATCAATATAAATGTATATATATGTAAAAACTGGAGAAATAAAGGCATAATGAGAGATAGCAACAGAGGGGGGTTTAGATTAGAGAGAGGGAGGTCAGGGTCAACTTTCTGAACAAAGGATATTTAAGCTGAGACTGAGGGATAAACTCGAGCCAGCCAAGCAAGATAGGAAAAAGGGAGTATTCCAGGCTGGGAAACCCCAGTGCAAAGGCCCCCGGGGGGAGCCAGGGGTAGAACCTTTGGAAAACTGAAAGGCGGCCTAGGTGAACTAGGGTAGAATGACGCAAATGAGGCAGGAGTGATACGCACAGGAAACATTATGAAGTCTTCGTAGGAAATGATAAAAATTTTAGATTTTATCCGAAGTGCAATGAAAGCCTTTGACTGCTTTTTTATTTAAGTTATCTGTTCTCCTTGATTACTAATCATACTAAGATAGTACATACAATATTAAAATACATCATTTCAGTACATTAATCTTCACTTAGAAAATCCGATTGTTACATGTAGAATATAGCCTTTTAAAACTTTCATTTAAAAATACAAATTTATGAAAATCTTAAAAATGGAAATTATAAAAGTTGATGCTAAAAATTCTACTTTCAGATAACATGTGTCTTAAAATATTATAAAAAATATTCTTTACTCTGAAAGCAATGTCAGGGGGAAAAAACCTGAGTTCCTTCAAAATGACTAGTTCTGATTATCCAGATCATCCAGTTGCTCTCTTGGACAAGAGTACACATTTTTTTTAATCCTCACCTGAGGATATGTTTATATTTTAGAGAGAGAGAAAGAGAGAAAAGGGGAGAGAGAAACACTGATTTGTTGCTCCACTTATCATTGGTTGTTCCCTGTATGTGCCCTGACCGGGGGTCGAACCCTCAGCCTTGGTGAATCTGGACAACACTCTAACCAACTGAGCCACCCAGCCAGGGCCACGAGTGCACTTCTTAATGGAACTAAAACTTGCTGCATACGTAAAGCAAGATTTTAAAAGTATATATACTATACATACATGCATACATATATATATAGCTGAGAAACATAACAGAGAGGAATTTTCTATCCTTTTAAGACAGTTAAGAAAACTAAAATATTAAGAGAGTAATACATTACTAAACATCAGAAGCCAAATTCTTTTTCACCTTCCATCAATGCCTTCAGCGGCCATCTGACGTTTACTTTCAATATTCTCTGGACTTTACTACAAAAATATTCTAGGAGCCCGGCGGGGTGTGGCTCAGCGGTTGAGCATCGACCTAGGATCCAGGCGACCGGGGTTCGATTCCCGGTCAGGGCACATGCCCGGGTTGCGGGCTCGATCCCCCGTCGGGGGCGTGCAGGAGGCAGCCGATCAATGACTCTCTCATCGTTGATGTTTCTCTCTCTCTCTCCCTCTCCTTTCCTCTCTCTGAGATCAATAAAGATATATTTAAAAAAAAAAAAAAAAT